TGTACTTTCCATTTTACTTTTGACTCTTTTTTTAAAAAAGAATTCAGTTTTCCATTATTCTTTTAGAATTACAAAAAAAAAATCGAATGATCAATTTAAAGAATAACAAAAGTGACTATAATAAAAATCTGTCTGCAGTTACTCAAATAAGTCATACCACTATGTTGCCAAATAAAGTACAATAACCAATTATGCAATCCTGCAGTACCATTTCGTAATTTCAAAATTGAATTTACATACAGAAATAATTATTGGAAAAATTGTTTCCTTATTTCTTGACCCTGAAACGTCTTATTTATAAATAAGAGCAAAATTTATTTTTTTCTCAAAATAAAAAAAAGAAGCAAATTTTGAAAGTATGACTATATGGAACTAACCATAATCTTACGCAAATTGAAAGCATTAAAAGCGGTGAAATGTACATAATTTTATATACATCAATATTTTAGTCACATTCCATCTGTTCTTCATTATCCGAATCGTAAGCTTTATGTGCTTCACGAAATGCAGTAAATGAGCTTACAGGAAATAATTTCGGCGTACAATTATTTGTCGCTTGCCGATTTGCTATCAGAGTATCTGTAAAATCCAATTACTTAGCAAAAGGTAAAAATAACTTCACTCATAAGATTCTCACGTAGTAGCTAATGTACTAATGTTTCAAATCCATTATTATAAATAGATCCGGTAAAACATTTTAATAACTGAAGTATACATTACGATGTACTACGAGCCAATAGTCAAATTCTCTTGAATTAATACGACAGTTGATGAATCGATTATGCAAATAATTTATCGATGAAAAAAGAGCCAGAATTATTGCTTTAAAATGACTAGCCTGTGCCTAATTCATTACATTCTATAATAAAACAATGGGGATTAATTTTATCGAAAATAGTTTAATTGTTGAAACTTGATCATGCTGTGCTAAAATTTCATTATAAAGTTTAACTTTTGAAATGTATGAAATAAATTGACAATACATAGTAGTGTAAATTAGTAATATTTAATTAGCATAATATTTTACCGGTATTTTTGGAAATTATTTTAAAATTATATTGTTTTATAAGTCAATTACTAACCAGTGAAATTAACATAAATATATTCAAAGTCCAAAACAATAATGTCAGCAATTTATTTATAACGTAAAGGATGAAGAAGAAAAATAATATCAGAAATGCCTGAATACCTATTTTAAAGCATTAGACACCGTTTGCAAATGATCTGATCATCTTCAGTTACGCGACGCTGTTTGTAATTCTGAGATTGAAAACCAAAAAAGAAAATGAAAACAAACCTTCAAACATGCTAGCATGCTGTTGGCTTGGATCATTTCTTCTTTCCTTATATATTTTTGTCCATTCTTCAGATAGCAATGGCTGATGCTGTTGCTGAATGCGAATTCCTAATATTGGTTCAGTAAGACTCTGAAACACAATTAATTAAGGAATATTGAGTTAAAAAAAATGAATTATTTGAAGCCAAAATAAACAAGGAATGATATAATTACTGTAAAAAGAAGATGAATACTATCAAATTGATAATAAATTTTTAATCCAGTTTTAATGCTATGATTTATGATTCGATGAAATTAACCGTGGTATAAAGAGTCGGAGAAGGATTATCACCACTTGTCGATCTCGTAGAAGAATGTTCGTCAAAATCGCCGAATCGGAAAGGTGTATGTCGAGCTGTTGGGGGTAACGAAAGTGCCGATGCGCCACCGGTTGTCGTTGCACTAACACCTGCTGTGCTTGCTACACCGTGCTGTGTTAAACAGCTAAAACATCAACATTTCTAGCAAAAAAAAAAAAAAGAAATTAAATGATTAACTGTAATACATATATGATTTCGAAACATATTTTCAATTTTTTGCTTTATAAAACCTGAGCAACAATATTCAGGCCTAATCAGATGTTATTTGCAAAACTAGGCAACATTTACATAACTATTCATTATGGGTAAATCATAATTGACAATAAATCAGCAGACAATTTATGTATTTGCTACCAACTGATTGATGTTTGAAGATGATGCATCAGAAAAAAGTGATATAAGTAAGAAGGTATGAAGTAATGAGATATTTCCTTAAAAGAATCCTTTTTAATCTTTCAATTCCATTCTAAATCATTTCATAGTATCTGTCAAAAAAAAAATAATTAACTTCAAATTATATCAAATAATTTTACATTTTCGAATCGACTGAAAGAAATGATTTCAACAATTAATTAATAAAATGAATAAAAACGAACCCTTTATTCATACATGAAGATACTGAATTTGAACGTTTTCGCTTGCTGTGACTGTAATGTGGAAGGACCCGACTTGAACGACGTGACATACCTAAAGATGGTCGAAAAGAGAGAGTCTGTCGTAGCACCTAAAACATGAACAATTGATAACAAATAAAGTTAACCGAGATTGAAATTCATATAAATGATATATCAATACAGACATGCAAATGCACCGAGATATGTAAATGTAAGATAAAAGAAACTGAAATGAAATGAAAGATGAACCATAGTATCAAGAGATGTACTCATGCTTAGTGGTGGAGCACCTGTAATACGGCCACTGGAAGTTGTTACCGAAGTACTACAAGTACTTTCCGTTGAACTGGCAAGCATGTCACCACTATACGAGGCTGATGTAAGTGCTGTAGCAGTTCGTTGTCGTTGCATTTCATTTGAAGTTGAAGTTCGTGGTAAAGTTCCCTGTGCTTGTCCTAACTGAAATCATACACTTATAAAACTGTATGAGATATTAATTTTGCTATTAGCATGAGAATGAAAATTAATCCATTTTATTTTATCAAACATAAAAAAAAAGAGAGAGAGAAGGTATATATTTGAATCAAGTAATAAAATAATAATAATAATACCTGGCATAGATCGAGAGCAGCTATCGTGGAACGTTCCTCCATATCACTAAGACGATTATCATCAGGTCGTAGAATAACATCTTCCACTGCTCGTTTCAAATCACCAATATGCATAATGAATGAATTTTGCTAATGAATGGATCAATCCAATTATATTAATTCAATCAATACAACTAGCAATTGAACAAATAGCAGAAGTTTTTCGATGAAACATGCCAAATTCAAGATGTCATCAATCGTTTTATCCCGTCCCTTCCAGTACAAAATATTGGAAAATTTTAGCAAACGATATCACAATCAACTATCCATTTTTCTTCGTCCCTTATCCAAATTTGACCATATTCTAAAATGAATTTAAAATATCTTTTTCTTTCCTTCTTAACTATTATCAATATGTTGCATAGATGATAAGTTTATACATACATATATATCAACAAAAATTATATTTGAAAACTTTTATCATAAAAGAAAAAAAAATGAAGGATGGGAGAAGGAAATGATTGGATAGGAAATGTCAAAATGAGGTCAACGATGTAACCAAATGAACATATTTGCTCTAAATAATGATACATCACTATATACATATTTAAATGATAAAAAAAATAACGAAAAAAAATTAAAGAATGCACATATACATATAATATATATGCTTCATTAAATTTCATTCATAATTATTTATTATTATCGTCTTTTTCCGTCATTTTCCATATTTATTATATTTAATTTAATGGTAAATTTCATTCAAATCATTTCGGCTCAACTTTCACTCTTCAATATAAACATTCCTTTCAATTGAATTACTAAATTGAACTATTTAATCCTCCGCTAAACAGCAATTATATTTTACCGTTGAAAGTAAATAATACACACACACACATT